TAATTGAGCATTGCGTGGCACATCCGACATACTGTTTTACTTTTGTCCATGACGCGCTTACCTTCAGGGTCATATTTCACATGAAGACCAAAATAGTTCCAAACGCCAGATCTGAATGAGGGTGGGGGAGGTTCAATTTGCCATGTTGCAACGAGCTTAGCTTCTGTCTTGCTAGCGTACCGAACGGAAAGCACTGTATCGAACGGTTCAATATTGATACGAGTATCATTGTACCCCTAATATTTTTGTGTGTGGTTTCTTGCAGGATTATGAGGGTTCAGTGTCATTTTCTCTGTTTTTAAATCAGCTGTTTAATTTGCAAGTCTGGTGCATTCTTACATTTTTTTATTTTATTTTATTTTTTTTTTAAACGTTCCTCTCATCTAACTCATTCACTCTTACACATCAAAATAAGGCGGTGGCATGACTCACCCCAAGGAATCTTATTTTGACATGTGAATTGACACAACAATCCCAAGAATAACAGGCAACCCACAGTACCTTCTGAGCCAGCTGACCCAGATAAAACAATACGTACTCTATCTGGATGAAGTGCAAAAGGTTGCTAGATCATAATCAAAAGGACCACTAAAATCGAAATCAGTACCTCTTAGGACATTAACAAAAAAATGACAATAATAAAGACCAATGTGAAAGTAAGACGTTTTTTTGGGTCTTATAAACAACAGTAAACACAGTAAAACACAAAAAAACAGTAAAATACCTGGAAAGTTTTGGAAGCTCCTCCACAGTTGAATCTCAGGCAGAGGTTAACTTTATTGTCCTTTTCCAAAATCTCAAACGTCCCTTCTTTCCACCTGGTGGTGCCCAGGTCCAGACTGGTGAAACGGATCTTCACAGCCCCAGCGCTGGAGAGTTTGGGCACTACAGTTGCCATGGCTTGCTATCCCGTTGGTGCACTTGGGAGACTGGGACTCAAACTAATCCTAAAAAAGACAAATTGGATCCGCTGTCACACAATCTGAGCACATTATATTTATAACAACTGAATGTGTTCAGCAGGAGCAGTTTAAACCAATGGTCAGGTAGTTCTGAATTTGATTACTCTAGTTAAATACTGCAGGAGAATAATGGGCTTAACGAACAGAAGCAGCCACTAAAATGAACATAGCACCTCTTTTTGTAATAACACTAATATCACCTGTAGTCGTCTCGGTGAAAGCAACTTCAAAGTTTCCGAGGCTGAGCTCAGATAACGAGAGCAGGCAACCCACGTTGTCAAAGTCACAAGAAAGTACAAACCATCCAAAACAAGCTGACAGGAGTCAGCGCAGCATCTCGCAGCAGAAAAGCGGACAGCACGCTCGCAATGCATTTCTGACAAATAAAACAGCTTGTTTGGCTGCGTGTGGCAGCTCGTGCCTTGTGATTTTCTTTGCTAGCAGCTTCAATAAAAGCCCATGTTTGCATCTGCCATCAAACTAGCCAAACTAACGGCCACTCTGAGTCGCGGTAGCCAACGACTGGTACGTGCACAACAACACGGGATGTTCCCTCTCAGCTCAAGGCATCGATGCTCCCACAGAATTACCTGTCCAAACCGGCAACGCCAAGAAAAGGTGCTAGCCAAAAGTAAAAAAAAGCCCCTTTGGATGCGGATAATGTCGTATGCCCGTCCGCAGCCCCTGAATGGGATGGAGGAGGCCGACGTTAGCACCTCGGCTAACAAGCTAACGAACGCTAGCTAACTGGCTAATTTGCTAGTCTGTAATTTGGTGATGAAAAGCGTATCGCGTTGCGATTACAGCGAGCAGGTACTTACCTATCGATGACGAGAGCTTGTCTTCAAACTTCTAAAAGTCCGGTGTCGCTTCTGTAGCTGCTGAGCAGGCAGAAAGTTTGTTTTGCCGGCATTCACCTGCTCTCCGGTGCTGTTGACAGCAGAGCAGCACACGACGCGTCGCTGAGCTGCGCGATGATGGCGGGAATGTGAAAATTTACAACGGAAGTAATGACCGAGGATCTTCATCTCGCGATATTTCACTTATTTGTATCAAGGCTGTCCACGGGTCTGCCAAGCTAAGCCTCGCTTTAGTTTTAGTATGAATTACGTTTAGTTTTGAGCTAATTAGTGTGGTTTAAAGCGCACAAATTAGACTGCTAGTGTTCCTTTTCCCCTTATTTCGGCGAATTTGAAGTTATGTTAATGTACACGGGTACTTGTCTTCATAGGCCAGGACATTTAGCAGCCAGCTCGGGCTAGCTTTGTGCTAGTTACGCCAACTTGCTTGCATTGCAACCACGTTCACCACACTTAATCAAATTTAGTTGTTTATAACGACATAAAGACGCCACAAAGATCTTCGGAGAATGCTTGCAACGGGAGCGGTAAGTGTAATTTCACCTTACTTTGCTTTGAAGTCTCGAACCGTCTTAACATGAAGCTTCCTCATCCTTTTGTTTGATTTACATTAAACACTGACCACCCTTTCTCAAACACAGACCCAAGACGACATGCTTTTTAAACTCATTTTGCCTTTTACAGGCTGTATCTAATGTCACAGCCCTGGCTCAGGTAGACCGGGAAAAGATCTACCAGTGGATCAATGAGTTGTCCAGCCCAGAGACCAGAGAGAATGCCCTGCTGGAGCTCAGCAAGAAACGCGAATCTGTGCCAGACCTGGCACCGATGCTTTGGCATTCCTGTGGCACTATCGCTGCTCTTTTGCAGGTAAGATCTGTTGCCTCTCTCTACCAGTTGGAAATCAGGATCTTGTTTTTGTTTGGTTTTTTTTATGCTTCAAATCTACATCGGAACCACAAACCTGAATCTTTAACCCTATGGCATAACTGGACATGCACCCTTCTAGAAATTTAATACACACAGCATCCACAGCACATACTGTGATTGGCCTACCCAGTACTATAGATTTCCCCCTGTTAATTTCATCTTAGTTTTTGAATTTCTCAGTGACAGAATAACGATCAATGATCATCTCCTCAATATAAGGAATCTCCTCAATATAAGGATTCACAAATGTCAACAAATTACTGGAGAAAGATATAGAGGTAATAAAGTACCAGCATTTTATTTGTTCCTGTCGGCTGGCTCCACATATAAAACACCAGAAGACACACTAATTAACACATAATGCACAAACACATAAATGATGTTGACAACATGGCTACGCCATAGGCTTTACAAAGATTCAGCACAACCATTAGTGTCAGGGACTACAAGTCATGCCATGTTTGCACGGCAGCTAGGCCTTACAGACCACTCGCATGAAGTGAGCTACTAAACCCTTCTTCATTACTCTGAATTGTTTTGCTATATTTATTTTTATTTATATAATATGTTGCATTGGTACTTGTTGTTAAGAGCTCTTAGTATATTTTAAAACTTGACCTGAATTATAAGACTTCCAGGGCACTAGATCTTGAAATGGTTGTAAGCGTTTTTTTATCTCTACCTACCATTAGAGTTTATACCACTTGTTGAGTTAATACCACAGAGATGACGGAGTAATCCATCATCTCTATAGTTCTGTTTGCCCAGTGTCATTTGCTGTGCACCATTGATGCATTCCTTTCTCTTTGTAGGAAATAGTGAACATCTATCCATCCATTAACCCACCGACACTCACAGCACATCAGTCTAACCGGGTGTGCAACGCCTTGGCACTCCTGCAGTGTGTTGCCTCACACCCAGAGACACGGTAAGGGGACAATTAGAAGCTTTAATTGTGTAATACTAAAAAAAAAAACCTTTACTACAGAGCAGATTGAGTTTTATCCACTTTGCCTTCATTTGTTCTGTTTCAATCAGGAATTTCAGAAAACTAAACTGAAACCATGCTTCTTCTTTTTTTATGTTTTATCTCATCTTTTCTTTTCACTGATACAAACAAGGCTTTTAAGCCTTAAATGAAAGTACCTAATTTTCTGCACTATAAGGTGCACTTAAAATGCTTTAATTTTCTCAAATATCAGCAGTGCACCTTATAATCCGGTGCACCTAATGTATGAATTCTGGTTGTGCTTACTGAACTGATTTTATGTAGTACACGGCGCTCAAAAATCTGTCAAAATGTTTTAGTACGACTTTAGTAAGTTACGAAGCCCCACCGCTTGATGGATTGTCAGAGCATTACAGCTACCGTAGTCAGGAGCCTCGCAGACTCGGAGTATTTGGGTCCAAAACTCCGTCCTCTTCAGGTCACACAGTCAAACGAACACTGCGTTATCACTGAGAGTTAAAAACTGTCTAAATTCTTTCATCTTTAAAAATAATCAGTGTTGCTGCTTTACCAGGTGTAACAATTAAGTTTAACATCGAGGCATCCATGAAAACAGAATTTATTAAATTTAACAGAGTTAGATGTTAGCAGGAAGTTAGCTCGCTAGTTTCCATCTAAACATGATATAGGATGTTCTGACTGAGAGATTTCTGAAAGAATTAAAACGTACAGCTCTGCTATCACTTCCATACCGAGCCCTGCAAGGGACATGGGAGAAAAAAATTTAAGGTGAAGTTTTGTGAGATCCCACAAACGTTTTGCAAGATCTCACAAAATAGACTGGTATCCTTCGCAGGTCACATTTGAAGGCCGAGTCGGTGTATCCTTCGTTACCCAACCTATCCCAGAATTCATAGCGTGGCCCAGCCAATTCATTTCTAACAATGGCGCCAGCTAGTTAGTTTTAATATTACTTTTTCTGGGTCACAAAATAAACCTTTAAGATATTTTCAGGCGTGAATGTAGCTGTGTAAACATCAAATATCTGCTCGGTTTATCAAGACATCACATATTTGCAAAAGTGCTCCGACGTTTTCAGAGATGTCTGTTACCCACCATCTCGAAGCTAACAGGAGGACGAGGCCCACTACAACCGGGGGGAACAAGGCACATCGTGCCTTAACCTCCCGGTCGGCTTCGAGCTGTGCACATCACTAAATACCAGCTTGTCCAACTTCAGTAAACCAACGAACATCACTGCTGTGATCATTAGCGACACAGCTATGTTAGCATAACAAAAACACAGTGAAGCTGGAGGATGAACGCTAACTTTTTTCCACTCAGTAAAAGTTAACATGAGGGTTAAGAACAAATGCAATCGTGTGGCAGGATGCTGTAAACAGACCAAACTTCAGTCAGAAGAACAACTGAGATAATCCATCCACAATATGAGGTTAGTCACTAATATACTGCAACAACATGGGAAAGAGCAGCTGTGAGAGAATTAAACATTAATGAATCAATGGTACGGAAGTGGAGGAAACAAGAAGAAAGAGTTGAGTAAAGTTTGACTTATCTGACTGTTTTGTTTCGCTTGATGCACCGTATAATCTGGTGTGCCTTATGTATGAAAACAGGCCCGTTAATTGACAGTGCGCCTTATGGTCCGAAAAATACGGTATATGTGTTTTATATGAGTGTGGTTACACTGATTTAAAAGTATTTTTCTTTTCATTTTTAATATCTTGCCAGGTCGGCTTTCCTCGCAGCCCACATTCCCCTTTTCCTTTATCCCTTTTTGCACACTGTGAGCAAAACGCGCCCATTCGAGTACCTGCGCCTCACCAGCCTTGGAGTCATAGGTATGCTCTCCTCTCATTGTATTATGAAAAGAGTTTTTATCATTCAAAGTGTGTGTGTACAGGTATTAAGATGTCTGTTTGTACTTAATGTAGGTGCCTTGGTCAAAACAGATGAACAAGAAGTGATTAACTTTCTTCTCACAACTGAAATCATCCCGCTTTGTCTCCGCATTATGGAATCAGGAAGTGAGCTTTCTAAGACGGTACGGAGCTATTCTGTTTTTAAAATAGTCTGAATCTTTACAGATAGCCCGCAGCATAATATTGACACCTACTAGTGAGAAATCTTTATATGCATGTTTGTTTTTTCAGGTTGCTACCTTCATACTGCAGAAGATACTGCTTGATGACACAGGGCTGGCTTACATATGCCAGACTTATGAACGTTTCTCCCATGTGGCAATGATCCTTGTAAGTGTTTGCTGTAAAGTTATGCATGGACATGATCAGATAGACTTTCTGTGCCACGTTGACACATCATCGATTACAAGAAGATGGTTTAGTCTCACTGATTTCTGTTTGTAATTTGTTGAAAAGTCCAGACAGAATTAAAAACTTTTGATAACCGTTCGGAATAAACAGGCACAGACTGATGTTTAAAAACCAGTTGTCTGTTCAAAGCTTTTTACAAACTGACCATAAGAAAATCTGCATCAAGTCATATCTTTACTTCGCTGTCAATTATGTCCAAGCAGAAATGGTCCACAGTTAAATTTTGTTTAACAATTAATTTTCTGTCATTATCAGCAAATGAAATACTTCAGAACGTAAACTTCATATTAAAACTAAACTTGATTTTTCAAAAGGAATCAGTTCGTTGCACTGCAGTTCGAACCCTAGAGTCTCTTGTTTATGTTTCGTTTTGGTGTTTTAAAAACCCAACTGGGCACAGACATCACAAGTTAGCCCAGGCTGCGGTGGCATGCAGCATGGTTCATGTCACATGATTGAGCCTATAAAATAAATTAAAAAAAATAAACCCTTGAGAAGTTGAGAGCAGCATAGTAACAATATTTACTGCACTCCACTGATTTGATTTATGTAATCCATCTACAGGGAGCTGATCAAATGTACCAAGGACAGAAGAAAATGCGCCCATGTCACATTCATTACCTTTGATGTGTAAACAGCACGCTGTAAAATCCTGTCACATGTTCACAGCTGAACTTTAATCTTCAGTCAGAATAAAAATATTGATCCAGTTCGGTGGTTCTCAAACTGTGAGGTGTGGGCAACCTGGTGAAATCATTAGGAGGGAAAAAAGTCAAATAAATCGAGACATCAACAAGAGTTTCCTGAGGCTTTCACACTGACCTTTAACTCAAATGTAGTTTGAGTGCTTTCTTTAAATAATAATTTGTTGATTTGTGGCGTGTGGGTCGGGATCTTTGTTTGCTGGATGTAACTGTAGCTGTTGTCTCCATCATGTTTGCATCTTCAGGGTAAAATGGTGCTGCAGCTCTCCAAAGAACCATCAGCTCGGCTGCTGAAGCACGTCGTCCGCTGCTACCTTCGCCTTTCAGATAATCTCAGGTAGAGCATCTTTACTCTGTTGCAGTTTATTGTGTGCTCGCGAGTTCTGTATAACACTGGCTTCGCTGTTTGAAGACTTCAATCAGCTTGCCACTAGGAGAAGCTATTGCAAAAACACACTGGTAGTTTTTACACCATGAGATGTTTATGTGTGTAAAAACAGTTCATGGTAACAGGTTGTATTACCGTAGATGTAATAGCTGCAGCTTTGCTTGAAACACTTGGGAATAACTACATAGACAGAAAAATGCACTACATGTTGAAGCTGTTCATCGTTTAGGACAATTATATTTTTGTTTATTCTGATGATTTTTTTGTTTTTGCCTTACTCTTCTTTCTAACCTGACATTAATTATTTGGAAAAATATATCTGCACTTTCATTGAGTGTTTTCATCAAGTTTGAAGTTCAATTTCATTTGAAGTGATATTAAAAGGAGGTTTTGTGTTGTTCCTTCCTCAGAGCCAGAGAGGCACTCCGTCAGTGTCTACCCGACCAGCTGAAGGACAGCACCTTCGCCCAGGTGCTGAAGGATGACACCACCACCAAACGCTGGCTGGCTCAGCTGGTCAAAAACCTGCAGGAGGGCCAAGTGACCGACGCCCGGGGCATCCCGCTGGCCCCGCAGTGAAGAATTCACAGGAGACACAAACGGACTTGAATTTGTATTCTGTCACATGTGGTGCTAAGACTGAAAAGTAAACAACATGATGGAAGAAGATATTTTTGCTCTTGGGTCATTTATTTTTCCACATCTTCTTTATAGGAACCCAGACTGTATGATTTCCAAGACTTTTGTGAATATTTGAAAATCCAATAATGATACATAGGCTGATGTTTTCCTTGAAACGGCTTGATAAAGAAATGTTTAGGTAGGAGATTTTGCGGTTGAAAAAAAGGAAAACAGTAACACTCCTGCATTTCTGTTAACAGCGAAATTAACTGACGTTTACTTTTTAGAAAGTAAATAAATATGCATTAAAATGCATTCCTTTTATATGAAACAACAGACAAACTAATAATAAAATGTGTGTATTGCTGCAGTAACTACAAATACATTTTGCCATAATTATCACCACAGATTACTGGTAAATTAAAATAAGATGGTACTGGCTGTAAATATCCTCCTGTTATCACTGGATCCTACAGTTACATCCCACATTACATACATACTCTTGTTTGTTGTGTTTCTAATGGGACTACTTCCAGATGTGCACACTGGTATGTGCAGCAGTTTAGTAATACAGTGATATTCTGTACATTTGCTGGCACATTTGTGTAAAGAAAAAAGGTTTCTGTTCTGAATAAATCTCTGAGCTAGACGGCACTTGTTGGCAATATTTCACAAATAAACAATTTTACACCAAACTCCTGCCCCTGGCAGTGCCCTTTATGTGTGATTAGACTATCTATGGAATTTGACTGTCAATCTATAGCTCAATAATACGACTGCAAGCACTTTTTGAGTTTTTTAATTGAAATGGTTCCATTATTTGCGGCTTTGTTGTTTAACAGCTAAAATCCTACAAATCTTTATTTACAGTGAAATTCCTCGGAGAATTACTTTTAATTTAGAAAGTAGCAACTGGAAGCGATGGTCTCCGTGTTTGAGGAGACAGTACGGATCCCCCATGGAGGTTAAGGCAATAAGAAGAAAGTATATCTCACTTCCTCTTTCCCCTAAAGTAAGAGGTTAACTTTAAAATCATAAATGAGGTTTATCCAACCAATGAATTCTTAAAACGGAAATTTAACTTAGATGTGAACGCCTTCACATTTTGTGACAGTGATATTGAAAGTCTGGATCACTTGTTTTTCTACTGTGAATCAGTGCACCCCTTCTGGATTGACATGTGGAGCTGGCTACAGTTCAGGAGAATTCAGTTACCACATTTGATGATGACAGTAATAAAATTTGGAATACTTGCTGAGAATGCAGATTTTGACTTGTTGATTAGGACGTTTTTGTTACTGGGGAAAAAATGTATTCACAAATGCAGATATTTTAAAGCTAAACCACATATAAACAGATGGCTGAATGACTTTAAACTCTGGGCTAAATCGCTGAAACTTGTGAATAACAAGAAAGCTCATAAACTTATTGTATTATTTAACAAGTTTAATCTATGTTAAAAAAGAAACCTCCCTATTTAATGATCATGATTGCCCTTTTTTGTTCATATAAATTTTTTCCTTTGGTTTTAAATCCTTCAATGACTGTTCTTTCTTTTTGTGCTAACTCTTTTTGGCTTTGTGTTTATTGTTTGTTTTTGTTTTTTTGTTTTGTTTTGTTTTTTTCTTCCTCTTTTGTCGTTGTAACGCTCAACCGAGGATATTACATATTCGGATTAATGATGGTGCCTTGTATGTTATGCTGTTGATTATAAATAAAGTTCTTTAAAAAAAAAAAAACTAGCGTCCTGCCATTAGTTGGACGCTAACCTCGCGAGAATATTCAGAAGTTGATCTATGGACCGTTATCAAACTTTGCTCTCTCGGTTTATACCCGCTAATGTGCCGTTGAGTTTCCCCGTAAAGCACCTGACAGCTCGCCGGGAGCCTTTCGGATTACAGAGTTCAAATGAAAGCCGTGATTCTCGCCGCCGGGTACGGAACCAGGCTCCAGAGAGATGTGTTGGCGGACACCACCGGAAGGTTCGCCCACCTGGCGCACGTAGCCAAGCCGCTGCTGCCCGTCGGTCGGTGCCCTTTGAGCTCACACTGGATCCACGCGCTGACAGTGTCCAGCTCCGTGGACACCATCTATGTCGTGGTAAATAACCAGTAACTAGGTCCAATAACTGACTCCATTTCACAGGAATCTGATCCGACTCTGCGTAACTGTTAAAATGATAAACCAGGTTTGAATATGTGTGGACAACAGTGTTGGGGAGTAACGGAATACATGTACCGCCATTACGTATTTAAAATACAAAATATGAGTAGGGATGGGTATTGATAAGATTTTCACCATTTAGATTCCATTTTCGATTCTGTTTAACGATTCGATCCTTTATCGATTCTCTTATCGATTCTTTTTTTTAAAAAAGGAGAACTCTAAGGTCGATTAGCTTAGAACTTTGTTTTATAGCTTCTCTTTGAACAAGATAGAAATTTAGGAGTAACATGGCCTTACAAACCCAACAGTGAGATCTTAAGAGATCCAGCCTATGGCTCTTTAATGGGGTGTCACAGGGTCCCCAGGAAAAAATTTGTAAATGTAAAATAATAAAATAAATATTCTTCTGTAGCAATAACAAAGTATAACATAAATTATTCTGTAGCAATTACACAAGAATATCCAGTAATGTCCCTGCCTACAATTAAACACATTCACTTACCGTAAATCGGGGGCATCTGCTGTGGCAAATGGGTGCAAGCCTTTTACCTCAAACTTAGTCACTGCTCGGTGACATTCGTCTATCCTGGCCTGAAAGGAGACGCTACCGGTAGACTGCAGCGAGAACTGTCAGCATCTGAGCCAGACTCTGTCTGTCTCTCTCATCATGGTCACCTAAATGCACAGTAATGTGCATTTAGGTGGGGCATGTATTCTGTAATCTGTAGTGGAATACATTTTAAAAGTAACCTTCCCAACACTGGTGGACAAACACATCAAAGATAGTTCCCTGATTCACTTTACATGTTAGTTAAATAGATAGAGATAAAGTGTTAGGCACAGCCCAGACAGCAAGGAGACATTGAACTGATGTTGATTTTTCATCTGATCCATCAGAATCGTCAGGATTGAAATGTCAATGAAATATCAATGTTGAAACAACATTAAAATACTGATGAAACCTGACATTGACATTGAAATAACATTGATTCACTGTTGTTCTGTTATTGTTGATTGTTGATCTATTTATAGTTGACTATGTGACAACAATCACTTAGTGAGTACCTTCTCTTCTGATGTAATGATTATGATAATGATCAGTAACGTGCAGGTCTGTGACCCACTCTTATCCTCTGCTGATCTCCACAGACCAACACTCTGTACCTCAGGGCGTTTGAAGAATGGGCAACAAATTTCACAAATGTCCAGATCCTCAGCGACCAGACGACAAGCAATGATGTAATCCTTTACACTCCGCTTCCATACCGTCCTCTGACCTGTAATCTAAAGATTTTTTTACACATGCCCCGCAGCGCTGAGCAGTGTTGGTCAAGTTACTTGAAAAAAGTTATCCTGCTACTTTACTGATTACTTATTTTCAAAAGTAATTAGTTACTTTTTAAAACATGATTTATCCCCTAAATACGTAATAAAGCGATAGATCTTTCAGCCCAATTCTACTTTTTCTGCATAATCCATCATATAAAATGTAATCAAATGGAAAAGTCTCTTTTTAAAACTTGTTTTATTAGTTTTAATCTTTTAACTTTATGCATCAAGCAAGCATTAAATGCTATGCAACATTCTCTGACTGGAAGAAATTTGTTTAACATTTAAACCTATTTTCTGCATATTCCAGCATATAAAATAAAATAGTTTTTTGTTTACACTCACTCTTTCAAATAGATTCAAGTAAAACGCAGCAGAAAATAAATAAAATCAAAGATTCAGCGGTCCTGTTGCTCTATTTTCACCTGTATAGCAGGAGTGGGGCAGGCGGAGGTTTGCCCTGGTGCAGGTGTGCCGCAGCGGTCAGTGGAAGAATTTGGCAGTTTCTCTGTAAATTTCACATTCCAGCGGCAGCGCATTTGGTGCTTGCTCGGACGTTTAGGGCTTTTCTTCCCATGCAGTGAGCAGCGAACGATAATGTTTTTGACACTTTTTACGGAATCAAACTCAAAGTAAGGTCCGTTCTTCCACGCTTTAAACGCTGCACGGTCATACTCTCTCCTGCACACAGCTGTTGCCACGAACTTCGCACTCGCTTACGTCATTGTCATGAGACACTCTCGCAAAAGAAATCACGGTTTTAGTAACGCAGTAATGCAGCGTGCTTACGGGAAAGTAACAGTAATCTAATGAAGGTAAACTTTTGCATAGTTTCATTAAATATGCTGAAGCTCTTGTACATTAAGTAAGCTGTTGATTCCGATGTCAGGCAGGGATTTTCTTCTCAGATCTGGTTGATTACCTGGACTGATTTGTCCTTCACCAGGAACGACTGGGCGCCGTGGCCTGCCTGCAGCTCGCTGTGAAGCACTTTAACATAGAAGATCATGTCATAGTTATCGGAGGGTAAGTTTGTGCTCCTTAGCTCATGGTAAACTGTAGTTTTGAGTGTGTAAACAGCTCTGAGATCTAGCCCATCCTGAACAGTGACACCCTCTTCAAAGAAGATTTCAGCCTCAGGAAAGTTAAAGAGAGGTTCTCTGATGTCCAGTCGAAGTGTGAAGACAGCTGCCTTGTGCTGTCGTACCAGTGCAGAGACGAGGGTGAGGTTAATAAAGCTGTTCACGTGTCCAACATCAGCCGTGGCTTTGCGTCTTCTTCCCAGTTAGTTCTGTATTTTATGTTTGTGTGTTCAGAAACCCAGAAATATGGAATCCTGGAGGCAGACACTGATCTTCGTGTCCTCTGTATGAAGGAGAAGCCTCTTCCCTCAGAGACAAAGTCCAGGAGAGCAGTAAGTTCAACACAAATGGTCAGAATGTGGTAAAATATACACTCAGGGATCTTAGGGTTAAAGACTGTAAATGAAAGATGGAACTTTACTACCCGGACTCAGAACACAGAGCTGACTATTTTTGGTTTTCAGTGCCCTTGTTTCTACGTGTTTTCAAAAAGAAGTCTTCGTCTGTTGGACACTTTCCTTGAGGAAAAGAAGGTAAACGAAATAAGCCGACACTCCACAATTAAGTTATGTTTTTATTATTAACGAGAAGCTTAATATTTCCACAGGATGCTCCAATCACAGAGAAAGACGCTCCCGGAAACTTTGTGTCTTGGCTCATCCCGAGGTAATTTCAGCTGGGAGAAATCTGAGTTTTACTCCAAATAAATAATTTCCGCTTTTTGTGTGTTTCAGAAGGAATCAGGGTTTCATTTTGAATCTGTTCTTGTATTTTTCATATACTTAAATGACACTCAAGCTTAGATGATGGCAGACTGTTGTATTCTTTTTTTTCAGGAAACCTGTTTACATTCAGGAAATTTCTGGGCGTTTTGATGTTGGAAACTTGCCATCATATGTTGAATGTGATCTGTACTTCAAAGAAAAACTTCAGGACGTTGAGTCGTACATGGTGTAAAAGGACGTTTTGTTTTTTTTAACTGATCCAAGAAGAAAATTATCGTGTGTGACTGTAAATACACCTTTAAGTTTATGATGAATCTTTTCTATAAATGTTATTTTATTAATCTAAACAATGTTGAGTCTTGTGCATTTGTCCGAGGCCTTCTCGCGGCTGTTCTCCATCTTTGCGATGCGGGAGCCAAACTGCATGGCTCTCTTGGGCAGGACGGCCGATTGACCGAGGCCCAGTCGCCTTGCCGTCATCCTCAGGAGGAGTTTCTCGCCGACTCCTCGAGGAAGCGACAGATCGGCTTTCTGCCACACGGGAAGCGAATTCAAGTAGCTCACCACGTCTTCGTCCAAGTACGGAAACCTGCAGAGTCCACAGAGGAGAGCGCCTTTAATCTGCGGTGCTCAAAATAAATTCTACACTGAGCTGCAGTTTCAACCAGTCATGATTTCATACGTGACATGAATTTTTTAAGAATAACAAGAGATAAAACACCCACTGTGATTTTTTTAAGCCACCTTACACAGTGCTGTGGAGGCGAGCTGTATTAACTGTTCATGCCTCTCAGTTCAATTATGTGATTAAATGAAAAAATGAATCATAATTTGGCAAAAATGTTTATTTACACTAAAAAATCCAATTTGTTGTGCTCTTTGCACTTATTGACAAATAAAACTTATACCAGCTGATCTGCAAATAAGAGGACATTTATTCCACTTCGGGTATTTAAAGAGCTCAAACTTAGAGGAAAAAAAAGCTGAGACTTTATCATAATAAATCGTTTTTGGGTTTTTTTTAATATAATTTGCGTATCGGCCAGAATTTCAAAACCCATTCCAGTTTACAACCTTATATTAAAGCTATGAAAGTGTGCTATTTAGCTTCATTATCAGTGTACAGACACCTCAGTTTAAAATCTCTGCCTGTAGAAAATTCACAGAAACGGACGGCACATCCTTCAAACAGAAACTGCATGCTGCTTAAATTTTAACCAGACATGAACAAAAATATTATTTCAAGTTGTTTTCATTTCAGTTTTTCCCTGAGTGGTTCCGCTTACTGACAGCAGGTGGCAGTAAAATGTTTTTAAAAACATGATAAAAATTAGTAAAAGCTGTGCTTTTTTTTCTTTTTTTAAACATCAGGAAGGAAAACCACCTATCTGTTAGACATCAAGGATACACATGGGATGTTATAAAGACCCCAGATTCATTAAAATAAACATCTTACCCACCACACAGACAAAACAAGCTTCACTTGCAGACCTACCGAGCTTCCTTTCCATGGTCCCCGATCACTCTGTCGTCTCTGCCCAAATTTCTGGAGGAGATCCGGCCCAGCTCCATGGCCAGCTCCTGGATCAAGCCTTCGTGTCCAGAGGTCTTAAACCGGACTCGGTGCCTGGAGTAACCAGCCAGCTGCTCATCTGCTCCGATTCCGGTCAAAATGACCTGCACAAATCAGAAACGTCTCTGATAACAAGTTTTTAAAGTTAAATGTGGAATAATTCTGCTTTCCACCAGCTCTGTATTTTTCTAGCTCACAATAATCCTAATCTATCTTAAACTGGCCTTTAACACCATTTATGACCCAAACTCTTTTATTCCTGAGAATCCTCCTCAAACAACAGTTTCATCAAATTTAAAAAAAGTTATATTGAGCTCTCACACCCTCCTTCCTACAAAAGAAACTCCGCTCTTTGTCACCTTTGCCGACGACGTGAATGGCCTCTGGTGGTTTCCCTCCGCGATGAATCCCACTCCTCTTGCAGCGAACCAAACAGCACAGCCGATGCTGTCGTCCAGCACCGTGTCCAGCGGATGCACCAGGTGACAGACGCGCTCCAGGCGCTTTTCCTGCAGCTCCTCCTGCGTTACGTTAATCTCCACAAAGTTCCACTTCCTCTCAGGGTTCAGTTCTTGTAGTTCCCTGAGCCCAGCTCTTCCAGTGATTCTGTCAGGAACGTCAAAGGGGCTCAACACTTGGGAATTTCCCCGATCAGCTTTTAAATCTATGGGCTTATTTTTGGGCTTTCTCGAGGACTCGTTCTTCTTTTTGGGCTCCTGTAGTTTAAAGGCCACATTCAACAGGTCTACAGGCTCGTGTGCAGGTACGTGACGGTCAGCTAAAGCAGCCAGGATCATTGAATCAATGCCTCCTGAGAAAAGTATGGCAACACGAGCACAGTCAATAGCAGGAGGAGAGAGGTTTAGAGCCCTGAAAGGTAGAGACTGAACGCGTCTCCTCACTGCCTCGCTGAGAACGTCGATGAGATGATTCACCTCATCAGTTTTCTCCTCACTGCGCAGCAGCTTCTCCAGATCCTCCACAGACAGACATGAGTTTGAGTGAATTTCTGTATCATTTAATGTTTCTGGAAGAGACACATTCATAGGTGGAACAGGTGAAGAGAGTTCAAGACCCGACTGGTTCATCACAGCACTGCAACCTCTCGGGATGGACTCCAACACCTGAGGTATGGTGTCATTACTGACATCACTTTCTGCATGAGCCCAAGGATAAACCTCAAATGCCACACAGCCAGCTTCTGCTGCCGCCTTGAGGTTAACCCTGAACACACCAGCTGCCGGGACTTCCTGCCACACGCACTGTTTGGGACCAGAAGTGTGAGCAGCCACAGAAGTTAGAGTCAGTTCGCCGGCCTCTGCGTCAAATGTCCATAATAAGCTCCGCCTACCAAAGAAATCTCGGCCAAACCACAGGTAGTCTCCTGCCTTCTGGTAGTAAACAAACCCCCATGGTCCACGAATAGCAGACAGGACAGTGAGAATCTCTGAAGGGGCATTGCAGGATGATAGCCGCTGAGCTAAAACCGTGGTGTCATTCTCCTCTGGCGTCACCGGCAGGCCACTGAAAATCTCTCCATTCCACAGCAGGATGTTTCCGGCGGCGTCTTGAAGCGGCTGAGCAGTGAGGAGACCTCTCATGTGAAGAACGTGAGCAGAGAATAAACAGCAATAGCTGAGATCTGAGCCTGTGATGGCGAGGTCCTGGCTCAAATTGGGCCCTCTCCTTTTTAAATGTTCATAAACTCTTTGATTCCACTGAGAGTGAGCGGACGCCAGACTCAGCGCACAGAAGATCCCACACATCGCGGCGTTGCTGTGGCCTCAGATATCCTGAAGTTCCTTTTTCATATAATCAAGCTCCTCTGGAAACAGAACAATGCACTAGTTACATGATGCCATAACATTGTGCCTTCACTGTAGGCCTATTATGGCATAAAACACGCTGCTGACTGTTTAATTATTTAACAAAACAAAACAAAAAAAAGGGGGGGACCCTGTTCCCAACTTTACTGGCATCAAATTCAAAATGAGCAAATACAGGAAAAGCCAGCAAAGACAGAACACACAAAAACAGCCAAGCACTGACACAACCAAGAATAACAAGACTTTCCAACATTTCCAGTGTTTGTTTTTACCTCACTGCAAATATTTCTCAAACCTACGTCTGAAAAAAAGTCCTTTATTGAGCAGTTTCTCATGCATAAACTTAAAATAAACAATGCAGCTCAGAAACAATCCCACAGTGATGCCGGTGACTTTTCAATCTTTAGCTTGTCTTGATAACGACGCCTGAAGTTTGATCGACATATTCTTGAAAATCTAATGGAGTTTTGTACAGAAGAACTCTGGACTGGACGAGATGTTCTGGGCATGTACTAAAAGAGGAGGCCCTGGGATAGATACAGGACAGACTGGAGATATCGCATCTCTCAGCTGGCCTGGAAACACCTTGGTCTTCCTCCAAATTAGCAGGTGGAGGTGTTTAGGGAAGGGAGGTCTGGCCTTCTCTGCTTAGATTACTGCCCCCAGTCTCCCACTATCCTGGATAGCAGCAGAAAACGATTGGATGGATGGATGTTAAAAAATAAACAAAGCAGGATAAATCTGTTTTTTGCTTCTACCCTGTTTGACATATAATGTATCACATTTTTCAAAAATAATAAACTCTCAGTCAATTTTTTTTTTTTTTTAGAATTTTTGTTCATCTTTACTTCCAAGTTTTCACCTCTCAACCAGAGACATTTCCATCATCTTACTTTTGCACGAAGTGAGTGTCTGACTTCTCTCTCCCACAAAGAAGATGTTACTGTTCCTCTGCTGGATGTAGACTTTCTGCGGGGGAAACAATCTGCATTAATCCACATTTATACTTTCAAAACACATGACTGCACCAGCCTAACAACATAGTAACCCATGTGATTTGCGTGTTTCCCATCATAACTGCACAGATAATGATGTGATCTAATAAATTTTGAGACTTTCCACTTCCTCCACTTACCCTGTTTTTCTTCAGATTGCAGAGCTCGTCCACAAGAACTTTCTGCTCTTTAATCTGTAACACGGAAAGTTTCACCGATAAAAACTACACTATCTGAATCTGTTAAGACACATAAAGCTAACAGAAGCGGCAGAATAATTATATATAACGAAAATAACCAAAAGCCTATGTATTTGGGAGACATCCGGTGGTCTGTAACAGCCACATTAGCCGTATTAGCATGTTTGGGCTAACGCTACCTTCTTGTTCAGTTCTTCTTTTACTGCGGCCTGTCCTTCAAACTGCTCGTCACTGCTGCAGCTTTTTGAAGACATGATGGTGCGAAGAAACGTAGAAAAAACTGTCCAGAGTTTTTATTAATAAAACCAAACCCGGTTCATACAGAGTAAGCTCATGCGTCTAACCAGAATGAAGCTTTTCCGGGTGCTGAATGTTCACACAGTTTGAACTCTACTGCCTCCTGCTGGTGGGCGGTGATATAGCCATTCAACTGAATCATTCATCTGTATCAAAAAATACAGATATTTGTGCATGGTCTAATTTTTTTTTTTTACTCCTTTCTTTTTGTTTTCTTTTTTTTTTACAAGAGCAAACCACTTAAGTTTAAGACTTTCTTCAACCTCCAAAGGTAGCCAGCCTGAAACCCCTGCCATTTGTTTTGGCACTTACCTTGAAGCATTATCTAATTAACATTATTTTAATGTGCACCAAAACCAGTCAGTTTCAAAATAAGCCAAAGTCCATTCACTTAAACATGGCTTTCTATCTATGTTCATCTCATTAGGCTTTTATCAAAGTCAGCCTTGTTTGGAACCCACTGAGGTGGTTCAGGTGATGTATGTCCAGGATGCCTCCTGGATTCCTCCTAGGTGAGATGTTTTGGGCATTTTTTTTTTTTACTGGTAGGAGACCCTTCAATAGACCCGGGTCATGAAGGAGCGTTTATGTCTCTCAGCAGGCTTGGACCGTCCTAAAAGAGCTGGAGAATGTGCCCGGGGAAAGTGAGGTCTAGGTATGACTGTCACTTTTCTCTCAATTAGAACCACAGATGTCAACCTGCCCCACACAGCAGACACACTTGGGTCTAATCTGGACGTCTTCAGTTAGCAAATATGCAGATCACACATCACAAGCTCTGGGTTACTGCAGATGTCGGGTGGGCTAGATGCCACAGCACACCTGACATTCGGTCTATAAAGGTGAATTTGTGGCTCTGCTGAGCTAGCTAGACTCATCCTAATGACATTTAGGCCATTTAGGCCAAATCCGGCTGCTGGATTTTTGCTCCAGCAGCCGGTCAAGCACCCTTTAAACTTGACAAACACACCTGCCTGAAGCCTCACGTTGCTTCACTGTCCACTCAGCTGCAATGCCTTATTGATCGGAAACAGCTGTCAGATGTTTGCAGTCTCATTCCCTGAAAGCGAGGGCTGTCATTTCAGGAACAGCGGCCACAGGTTGCCACAGCCGGCCAGACTGTGACCCTTGATGTTTATTTTTCTGTGGTGGAGTTGTCAGGCACATATAAAACTCTTTGGCCTTATATCCACAAAAACTAAACCGACCGCAGCCTTGTTGTGCTCCCAAAACGGTGATTACGACCATTGTTTCTTTGGTCACTCAGATGGTTGGTCATCTTTCTGTATCAGGTGTTGTGACCTTGAGACCTCAAGAGCCATGCCTCGGGTATTTGGATTTTATCAGATTTTATTGAAATACGGCTGAGCTGTTCTTTAACACCTTCATTGCAACAGAGCACAAAAAAGAGGAGAAGCATAAAGAATAGATGAATAAGAGATTTCCCATCTTGCACCTGGATCCCTTCTTTAGCTGCGGCTGGTAAATGTGAGACAACTTTGGGCCACAAGAGGCAGGTCATCCAAATATTTTTATCCATGAGTACAAATTTAGCTGATGTAAACACAGCTTGTTGTTGCACATCCCGGGATCCCTTCAGGAACAGACGTACCTGCAGGTCACATGACCACAAAATGACAGAGCAGCCGCCTGACCGCTGATGACAGCTACCTGACACAGCGGCCCACTAATAGTGGAGCTGGTAATCTGTTTGTAGCGGCTCAGTGTGTGCAGGCTTTGAGACGGTTGGGCGCTCTGTAAAAGATCACAAAGGAACTGAAGCTCCTATTGTCATCACCCGGCTCAAAATACGTGCTTATGTTACCTGTCGCTGTCAGTTTTGCTCCCTCATGCAATGAGACAGCACAGTATGCATATGCACTGCATTTGTTTTCATGTGCATTCACAGAGCTTCGTCCTAAAATAACTCAACCTCCAACCTGCTTGGATCACACATTAAGAGTTAAATTTAGGGCTGGATTAATCCACTGGAAGGAACCTGGGCTAAAAGAAGCTGCACTGATTCTCTTTGTGTCTGTAAATTAGTGGATTTGTTAGTAATTACCAGTTATCATGGTAAAACTCAACATCAAAACCACCAAGTATTCTTAAACACAGGACCTCCCGGGGGGTGGCATCTTCAGGGGGATCCCCTTTGGGTCTTCTGGAATGCAGGGTGGTGCTCTAGGGCCAACAACTGTAGTTCCTTTAGTGGCCACTTGAGACTTCCTCCATAAATTAGTCAAGTCCCATAGACTCCCAACTCTACAGCAGAAATAAACAAGTTTACAACCTGCTACAAAAAACAGTTTTGGTCTATCTGATTAGTTTCACCCTCCATAATAAGCTTTTAGTAGGTTAATATTTTTCAAAGTCATCCAGCTAGATTTCGATAAGGCTCAAAGTTAGAGCTGTGTCCAGTTTGATTGAGGAATGTGCTGAGACAAGGAGCCGTAGCCAACTGCTTTATCTTCTCTGAGTTACTGAAATATACCTCTCTATCATGGCCTGTTTGCAGTTTATTCATTGCATCAATATCAAAGCCCTCTCACTCTTTGACTTGTCTTTGCAAGGGTTCGTTTCACCCCCTTGTCTATATTCAGTCTTTATTTTTATACAATTAAAGTTCATTGAGCTGCAGCAGCTTTGTGCAATACTGTACTAGTGTTATCTGATACCTTAGGTCTCCATAGACTTCCAACTCAAGAAAACAAACATGGAGAAGGAAAAAATGCAAACATGAATGCTGAGTCCAAAACTAAAGTGTGGCGTCAGAGTGGCTGCTGGTGACACTGGTGGTAGGTACGACGTTTTTGTTATGTTCCTCGAGCTGTTTTAAGGTGCAGGCGGACACATTGTCCTGTGGGAGGAGACCACAGACATGCAGCGGTGCTATTTCCATACAAGTGCAGAGTTAGTCTGAAACAAATTTTAGGTGGACAGTGCTTGTCTAAGTAATATCCAAATGAAAGTCAGGTGTCTTGTCAGGATCATGACAAGAAGATCAATGTCAATGGTTTTAATGAAGCATACAAAAAAT